AGTGCATAGTGAGGGATATAGGTCTAGTTTTAGTCTTTGGCAAATTGTCACCCAATTTTTCCAGCACTGTTTATTAAAGAGGCTATCTTTCCTCCAGCAAGGGTGTAAATGCTGTTGGGGTTATTGGGGAAAAGGAACCCTTCTCCACTGTTGGTGGGAGTGTAGACTGGTGCAACCACTGTGGAAATCAGTATGAAGATACCTCAAAAAACTAGGATTAGAGGTTCCATTGTCATGGGAAATAGGAAATATGAATTGTTATATCTCCCGACCTGTTAACAGGATGATGCGCTGAGTTCTTATTCTCTAGAAATCCAATCATGACGGAGGTTACAAGTAGGAAGATATTTCTTGATAGGAAATCTCCTGAGGGGCAGGAGGGGTCCTGTGTGAGTAGCCCAAGGACCCCACTTTACAGAGAAGTTTTATAGGGTGAAATCCACATGGATACAATGTGCCGCACAGCCATGAATATCCAATGAGGTTCCAAGTGTAGTCTCTTAGGTAATGGTGGTCCAATTGGGAAGCAAGTCACGTACCAAGCATAGATGGAAAGAACAAGTGTTCTCCTAGGAGGTGGTGGGTTCAGAGGTCTCTCGTCACCCCCCAGGGTGGTCATTGCCTATCTATACTTCACTAGGCCCAGTTCTTTGAAGAAGTATGTGGGTCTGGTCATCTTGTCTCCATCGTGAGGCCTGGTTTTTAGATGATGTGCAGCTGTGGTGTGTTTCAGGTTTGTCCTGGCCCTCTCGAGGACTTAGCCCTATCTGACTGCCTATAATATTTCTATCTAGCTCATCTATCTATAATACCATTTGACCCAGCTATTGCCCTGCTGGGTATCTTCCCAAAACAATTAAAAGAATCATACCACAGTGATATATGTACACTCATATTCATATTGGCACAGTTTGTAGTAGCTGGAACTTGGAAACAGCCCAATTGTCCATCAACTGGAGAACAAATAAGGAAGGTGTGGGGTTTTTCTTATAAAATGGAATGCTACTCAGCCATAAAAAATCAAAAACTGGAGACATTTATAACTAAATGGATGCACATTGAGGCTATACTCTTAAGTGAAATAAATAGGACACACATGTGTAATTACTGAATAGCTTCTCTGGTGTGAGAAACTGAAAATATATGAGAATAAAATACCACTCTTGAACTCCCTGGGGTTAAAGGATTTTAGTGTGTTTGTGCTTCTGGTCTGACTTCACACTATTAGATTTTATGG